TCTCCTCCTGTTGGTTAGCCGTTAGCGGTGCTGCTAACGTTACTAGCGCTCCTCCTGTTGGTTTAAACACTGATTGGTTGTTTACAATGAAACATGATCAGAGATCAGAGACTAGAAACATGTTCTACTGAATATTGGAGGAGAACCATCGTCAATAAAACTTTATTTACACTGTGATGGTTGACGTTGAATAATTCATTTGTGGTTCACATGCGCGTTGACCGTGAGTTGGGATCCGTACGGATCACGGCTCGACATCAGTCCGTTACACCACTAATACTCATTGCACTGTGTTTTAGTGAAGCCTGTATTCTTCTTACCGCTCTCCGCCACCTTACTGATGTCCACGCCTTGCTCTGCAGCCATGAAGCCCAGCACAGAAAACACCACGAAGCCTGCGAAGAAACTGGTTCCGCTGTTGATCATGGCCAGCAAGAACGCATCTCTACAGAGAAACAGAGACAGAGAGAGATCAAATTACTGCATGTCTCCCGTCACAATGCAGTTTACCTCCACGTCTGTGCAAAATATCACTTCATCATTTTATCCTGTTACACATTTGTGTGAAATTGTCATAATTAGCATGTGATTTCTTGAGTTGTGAGGTCACAGTGACCTTTGACCACCAAATTCTCATCAGTTCATCCTTGAGTTCAGGTGGATTGTGCCAAATAAAGAGATTTTAACATTTAGTTCTGTGATATAAAACATGTCGGTAAAAACCCCTCTGGTGAATTTAGAAACTTTGACATGTCTTAAAGAGTGTAAATGAGAACTAGAACACTAGTCCTCCTTTAGCTTAGTGGTGGAGACATGAAGTCACGTGACCGCGGTGGAGTTCCTTTATAGACTGACGTGAAGTCACGTGACCGCGGTGGAGTTGATTATGTTGATGAACAACACCTTTAAATATCATATAACTAAATTATTTTCTGCAATAATCCAAAATCCAATAAAATAATCTCATTGGCTTTTTGTGGTGATGCTAACTTCCTGCTGGACAACAAAAATACATCTGCAGTTCTATTTTGTGATAAATATTATAATACGCTGCAACATGAGGCTGACGTGAAACACTCAAGACAAGAGTGGACGGCAGGTAGAGGATCAATAGCAATCTCCCTGAAAGCTGCTGTCGTCTCTGTACTTTGCCGATTGGTCTGTCAAATCTGAGAGCAGAGAGTGAAAGCTAAACCTCTATGGAATTCTTGCTATTCCATACATAAATACATCTAATATTATAAAAAAGCATTCATGTACTTCTCATGCAAGTATGAGGGTGAACATGTCTCTTGTTATCCGCTCAGCACAGCGAGGGATGACCTTCTGTTTATCCTGACTACCGAAGTTTAGCTGGCAACGATGTGAGGAATGTATAAACAGCAGTGTGGTGATTGTGACACTGCAGCAGCTGTGTTGAGCAGCAACCTCCACTCTATAAAAGAAGAACGCTCATGGATGAGAATAACCAAAACAAGTGAGAGCCGACTGCAATTATTAAACAAAAGACTAGAGGTCAAAAGCCCTTTGAAGCTGAAACACTTATTGTTAGAACATGACCGAAAAATGTGTTTATCTACTGTGAAATGGGAAATTTATAGGACATTCCAGACCGTCGGGTCCGGATCTACACAGACGGACCTGGTCCAAGAGAGTTTAGTTCGTACGACGTGATGTATGACCACGTCGGAAAATCAATGAAGTGTTGATACCTGATCTGAAATGGGCAAACTCAAAGGTGGAATGAAAAGCAGGCCGACGTAGAGAAGGTTTAAAATACGGGGATAACGGAACACATTCGTGAATGTCGGGTAATCAGTTTCCGGAAAAATTACAGAAATGGTCGGACACAGAGACCTTTAATCTAACGTCGGACAGGTGTGTGGGGAGCAGGTGTCAACCATCGGTATTGAAAAGAGAAAAGTGTCTTAAAGCTGCATTCTCTCTAATGCCCATCAGGGGGCGACTCCTCTGGTTGTATAGTCTATGAGAAAATGACTCTACTTCTCTCTTGATTTAAAATATACTTCAGGTTACTTATGCAACATTACTGCGCTGTTATGTACATTTTACCAACTGGGTCAACAACTACTGGATGTTGACACATCCATTACAAGCTATTCCTGGGCTACTCCAAGTATGTGTGTGTGAGAAACAGAGCTGAGCCGACATACCTCAGGATCTGAACTCATCTTTAAACTTCCAATTAAGGTCAAGGCAGAGGAAACAGGAGGCTCCTCCTATTATGGGCATTTCAAATATGCAAGTGCAAAATAATTCTACTTCTGCAGCGGGGCTAACTCTTCTGTAAGGGCCTTGATATGTTTACATATCTGACTGTGTAGGTTAAACTCATGCCCAACCATCAGTGAGGCCAGCTGTTGCTAAAAACAGATCCACTCAGGATCTAACTGATCCTTCATTACATCAGTTCATCTCTACAGCCTCTCAGAGAGCATCACAGAACAACTGCCTGAAAGTAAAATAGAGCTTGTTCCATAAATTCAGGGCTTAATGACGCTGTGATTCTTCCTGGCAACACGTTCACTTTCTATTTTGATAATGCAGGGAGATCACTTTACATCTGAAATGTGAGTGGGGTGCATGGAAAAGTCCCTGCGCCTATTCATCATGATTCCATTCAGAGAGTGTATTCAGAGCTGACGGTTGTTCCTATTGGTAATTAATGTATAGCTTTTCTGAGTAAGTCCACCTACGGTATAATATATAAATATGCAAATAAGTAGGCAAACAGTTCAGAGAAAACCACGCCTACTTCTACTCTCTGAAAGGTGTGTGACGAGGGCATTCTGGCTTTAATCTGAGTAAATAAAAGTGGCGGTAAATCATCAAATAGATATTTTTCTAATATTTTATTTTTGTAATGAACCCAATGAACCGGAAACTGTCAAACTACAGGTATGATGAAGAAAGAAGGGAGTTAATATCAGGAGTAATTGATGGAAAACAAAAGATCGCCATCGGGGAATCTGCTCGTAAAGACGTCATGGAAAGTACGCAATCTTCTAATTAATTACTTAAGAGTCGTTTTTTCCTCTTTCCTGTTAATCTACTGCTCCGCAGTCCAGTAGGGGGCAGTAACGCACCCATTAGACGTCATTAAAGCTTAAATGAGTAACATGGTGGAATTAGCGTGCTAGCTAGCCAACTAGTAACCAGTGTAGCGTTAGCATGAAAACACGCTGGAACATCTTTATGTTTGTTTGTATTCTTCTTAGATGGATATTTTATCTTCTTATGGTTTTGTTACTATATATATACTTCATAGTTATTTTTATATTTACTCTCTTTTATGGAGCCTCCCAGCAAAAAGCATTTCACACGATTGTACTTGTATCACCGAAGTGAAAACAAACATCTTGAATCTTGAATGGCGGCTTTAGCAAGATAGCGTTAGCTAGCTAGCTAGCCTCTAAATGATAAAAACTAAACAACTCGATGCTTCGTCTTCACACTCTTGTCACAGTGTAAGAAAGCACATTGCTATCTCATGAACTCTGATTCAGCAGACGTTGGAATGTGCTGACAGATTAATTTACAGTCACAGAAAGGAGAAACAGACTTGTGCTGTGATTGTAAAGCTACACAGTGTTTACTGAAAACGTTAAAACTGTAGACGCTGTGTGGAGATGACATTAATATTCTTTTATTTCATGACGTAGATTAGTCCCAAACTAATTTAAAACAGTGTTTTGAGCCATTTACAACCATGAAATTTGTATAAATTTGGTAAGAAATGTCAACATTAACACCAGCATTGATGTGTTTCATCACAGCACGGTCATATCAGTTTAAAACAACAAGTGTGCAGTTTTTAGGAGAAAATTAACAGATCTTTGGTACCCCGTGCGAGTGTAAACAGTGTGTTTGATTCTAGTCCTCAGGTCGGTAGTCGACGTGCACGAGTTCTGGCTGACGTTGGTGTTGGCCTCCCTCCAGCGGCAGTGGTGTCTGGTTTTGTGTTGTGTGTGTAAACTCACTGGTAACAGTTGTTATGGAAGCGGTTGTAGCTGCCCAGCGCGGTCAGGGCACCCAGTCCGATGGCATAGGAGAAGAAAATCTGAGTGCCCGCATCGATCCACACCTATCACAGACAGAATATAGTTGTTTACAATCTCTTGACTGTGTTGACACACAATGTTTTCTTTACTCCACAAATATACCTGTGCCTCTCCGAGTTTGGACCAGTCTGGTTTCAGATAGTAAACAATCCCATCCAAAGCTCCGGGGAGAGTGACGCCGTGGGCCAAGAGAACCACCAGAACCAGGTAGGGGAACAGAGCGGTGAAGTAAACCACCTAGAGAAAGACGGAACAAGGGAGCGGTGAAGCACACCTCTCAACACAGCGGGGGACAATTTGTAAAAGTAAACTTGGGGGCGAGGAGGGGTGAAGTTTGAGTGCTATGCATTAAAACTTGAATTAAGTGAAAGCAGTAAAAACCCTTAACACAGTCAAACTCCTCACATTACATGTAAGTAGGTACATAAAAAGATGCAGTTATAATTTAAACAGGCTAGTTGGTAACAGTTCAGTGCTTATCAACATCAGCTACAGTCAAATGTTTCAATGTAACTGCACCCAAGTATGTTTTTATCACTTTGATTAAGCAATTACCTGCTTTGCAAATACTCAAGTCTTAAGTAGAAGCCCATTAGGTCCCTCCTGTAGTAGATGTGTAATGGGCCCTGTCATGTTACTTTGAAGAAAAGGTAGCCTGTAAATGGAAAGCCAGACAATTTGTAAACCTCCTGCAATTGCAGGGGTTTGTGGCAAACCTTTCCACAAGGTCGTCTTTGTCAAGTTATGCTGAGAAAGTCGCCCCCCCCTCCCCCCCCCCCCCCACCCCTCCACCCCGTTGCTACCTAACAGAGGAACCCCGTCACGGCTAAATCAGTATGGCAGTGAGAAGGGCACAAATATTTGCCTTTATCTCGGGCGAAACACGGGCAGAAAAGCCCCTTTCAAAGCTCTCGAAACGTCTACATGGTGGAAAGTTACTAATCGGCTTACAGCTCGCTGGCTGGTTCAAATCTCCTTCGTTATTCCCCCCCCCCCCCCTTCGCTCTGTGAGCTTTGGCTACTCTGGAGACACAAGTATGCAAACACAGACATCTCCATATCTCCATATGCTACACTCGTTATCCCGACGCATTAGAGCACGCGGCTTTTAAAAAGAGCGCGGAGCATCATCTGCTTTATCCCACTGAATACCATTATGTAACGTCATTAAGATAATGAGATTATAGCCCGACTGAAACATTAAGCTGCACGTAAACATGAATACACGTGAGGGGAAAACTACACAAATTAGCAGACATTCAAAAAAAAAAAGAGGAGGAAATACACGTGTTTATATTTGTGTGGATATGCGCTTCAGACTAGACGCTGATCTGAAAGCTGATTTGGGTCAAAAGGACCAAAACAAATCCTGCAGTTATGTAAACCTGTAGCATGAAGCTCTGCCCTCGATAAGCCCCCTGAGCGCTAACGCATCAAAAAGCATAAATATGAATCGGCAGTCCGCACACCCAAAAAACAGTGAAATGAAACATTGATCGCACAGTCAGAAAACGCTTTACCTTGCCAGTGGATTTGACTCCTTTCCACATGCAGAAGTACACAATGATCCAGGTGATTATGAGACACAGCACCATCTCATAGCTGATGTCTCCGGGCTCATGCAGCCCGCCGGACAGACGGAGCACTTTACGTCTAGGAGGAAGAACACAAGAGGGCCGTTAGTCTCTTTCTATAAACCATGACAAGAGCGTGTGTCAGAGAACATTTGAGGGCATTGTACTGCCATATTCACATTTCCTTATATTAGTGCTGCAGCGGATCAAATCAGCACAAAAGACAGTTGTGATGCTAGTTCAATGTTTTTGTTTTGTTTCTTACTGTTATGTCATCTGTTTGTATTACTTCTATTGTTTACCATGTAAAGTGCCTTTGAGCACCTTTTAAACAAATAAAATGTATTATTATTATTACTAGTGGTCCGTTACACTGCTACCTTATATTATCATGAGCACGTTGCTTTATGTGTTATTGAAAACATATTGTCACGTACTTTACAGAAGAGACCGAGTGAACGCATTAGAGAGGAGGCTCTCTTTGTTTCCTCTCATCAGTAAAACAAAGACAGCAGCCTTCCGCGTCAGATTAAACGTTTTAAATAGATAACAATTCAAAGGTGTGCTGCGGCTATAAATGAGATCTGTTGCCTCTCAAAGCTAACAGCGCTAACGGAGAGAAGCTGTGATAACAACACCCAGAGGGAGAAAGACTCCTCTAAAGTCACACACATTATAGTTGTAATGTCAAACGTTGCTCCTTTAAATAAAAAACTGTGGAAAATATTCTACAAATGTATTTTGTGACCCTAATAATGTATTTTGCGTTTTTTTTAAATGCCAGATTGATACAAGGAAAACAAAATATACGACCGGTAGTTTTTCTAACTGACATAAAAACATCAGAATAAAATACGGCCTCCAGTCAAGATGATAAAATGTGTTTTGGTAAAGAGAGCCGACGCGCTGCCAGACTCAAACCCCCAGACAATGCAGAACATACTCCCAGAACTCGATGACCGGGGAGCGCATGCCCTCGGCCTCCGGGCAGCTTCCGTTGAGGAGCAGCTGGATTGAAGACAGGTTCAACGGGGGCGTGGAGGAGAGGAGGTTGGCGGGGGAGGAGGAGGAGGAGGAGGCGAAGCTGCGGTTGTAGCAGGCGCGCCGGAAGTCCTGCGTGCAGTTGGGGGTGTTCCAGGGGTGGCCACAGGTGGCCCAGGGCAGCTGGTTGGTGAAGGAGTGGAAGAGAAAGTAGAGGCCCCACACCAGGATCATGATGTAGTAGGTGTTACAGAAGAACACGATCACCATGGAGGCCAAGCCCAGACCTGAGAGAGGAGGAGCCAGAGGAGGCGCGTTAAGGCCTGAGCAGACCGAGCTACGGACGTTAGCCGTTCTGCTATCGCTACTTTCTTAGTTGTGGAGTCAGACGTCCTCGTTTGCAGTGATGTTTTGTTGCTGAGCACCCTCAACATCTTAAGTTGAAAAAAACTCAACTTAAAGCAGAAAAGCGCCCGACTTTATCAGCGTTTCTTTCTCATTGTGGGGACTTCTGCTGTATTAGACGCGCTATACCACTTTACCGACCAACAGCAGGAGGCTAATTAGTTTTCATTCATTTAAACTCCACTATTAACTATTCAGAATCCTACAGTTCAGGGTTTGTGTTAAAAGTTAAAAAAGACGCAGCAAGCCGCGCGAGATATAGTAGTCTTAACTTACGTTGTTATATAAAAAGATAAATGTGTTGTCGGTGTGTCAGACGGCGGTACCTTTGAAGAGGGGTGCGATGTTCCAGGCTGAGACCCCTCCCTGCTTCATAAACTGTCCCAGTGCGATCTCCAGGAAGAAGACCGGGATGCCTCCGATGAATACGATCAGCAGGTAGGGGATCAGGAAAACCCCTGAAAACACAGAACACACACACACGTATTCGTCACAAGATGATATCCCACAATGCAATGCAAGTAGTGACGGCAACGTTCATGCCAGACAGTGGGCGGCTCTGTCACGTCAATAACCCTTCAATGTAAGTAAAAGATTTCACTTTGGCTCGCCGTAACATATCTTTATATTTAGTTCAGACTTTTATGATTCTCACGAGTCATCGCATGAGGTTGGGACATGTCTCCAACCGGCAAAGAGGCTCCCGGGTAAGTGACCGTTCAGCGCGTCCGAAATGATGATTGGAGCCCATCCAAGCTGACATTGGGCGAAGTGAGGGGTCGCCAGACTATCACAGGTCTGACACATAGAGAGAGACAACCATCCACGCCTACGGGGCAATTTAGAGTCTTCAATTAACCAAAGCTGCATGTCTTTGGACTGTGGGAGGAACCTGGAGAACCTAAAGAGAACCCACGCTGGTTACGGGGGAGAACATGCAAACTCCACACAGAAGGGGCCGTCCAGACCGGGAATCGAACCCTGGCCCCTCTTGCTGTGAGTTGACAGTGCTAGACTTCATGTCTCATGTACTATAAGAGGCGAGGTGTACTGCTGCAGTAAAATGAGGTTTTCTGAAGGTGCTCACAAACACCAGCACTGCCGAAAAAGAAAGTCCCCTGTAGCAGCTTTAACTCACTCTTATTTTTAAAGTAGAAGAACCGGGCTCATTAACTTTGTCCTGCTTTTGAAAAGGACAAGTTGTTTGAAGATTTTTAAGGACACGAGCTGCGCAAACATGGCTCGTACTAATCGAGCACTCGACACAACAAGGAACGGTCGACAGGAGGAGGAAGCAATGCAGGAAGTAGGCCAGGGAGGAGGACAGACAAGGCCACAGATAAGAGACACACTGGAAGTGTACTCGGGGCATTGTCCCCGCGTCCTTCAAGTGTTTGGAAACCTGTTGATAAGTGAGTCCTTGAAAAGGACAATCAAAATGTGGGACAGGAAGGAGTTATTAGTCCTGATAGAGACATCTAGGACCGGCCTCCTTTGGATTAGAACGAGCTGTCAATTCATAATCTCATTTTTGGATCCTCGTCGGGAATACGCAGCAAACAACGACAGCGATTTTATTTGGTTTGAATGATAGAATAAGTGGGTGATGAAGCTGCCACAGCGAGCAGATGGGAGGGAGTCACATGACGCAGCCGTGACGCAGAGCGGAGAGAGAGGCGAAGGAGAGAAAAAGGAGGGAAAGATGGAGGATAGAGGAGCGTCATCAAATGACTCGGGGACTCGATGGACTCGCGCCTCATTCGGTCCATCATCCTCCGAGTCGTTCTCTGAGAGCAGAGGGCTGCAGCCTTATAAGGACACATTCATGAGAGAGAGAGAGAGAGAGAGAGAGAGAGAGAGAGAGAGAATGAAGT